CGCCTGCCCCCGCGGGCGCCTCCTGCGGTGGGCCCCCACCCGCCGGTTGGCGCTCACCCCACCCCCACCGCAGACAGTGTCACAGCTGCCTGTGGGAGCTCCCCACTTACTGCTACCATGCTCCTGCTGCCGACAGAGCCACCTCCTGCAGGAGCTCGCTGTGCTCCCCCCCACCCACAGCACACAGCATTCATGTTTTGCTGTTTTATTTAGTCTAACAAAGGCAGCAAAAATAAATTCCAAGAGCCATGCACTTACAGGTCACAGTCAAGTCAAAGTTCCTCCTGAACCTAATGGTCCATGGGGCTAGTGTGGCTAACGCGGGCCAATTTCAATAGCCAACCACAGACAAAGGAGTGAAGTGGCCAGCATCACATTCTGCCAAGAGCCATGCCTTTGACTCCCCAGCCTGAATGACTAGGTGTAGCTGGGCAGTTCTATACCCTGGATGGTGGCAGTGCATGGGTCAGCACCTATAGCTGGCTGCTGGCAGCAACATGGCAGCCAGGAAAGCAGTGGCAGCAGCTGCTATTTTTGTGCCCCGTACCAACCAAGTCAGTACCTGGCGTTGTTGCCTTATCTTAGTTACACTTTGGCAATTACAGCTGGGTTGATTGCGGAAAACCTTTAGCATGATCCAGAGCAGGCCTTGAACTCAGACCTCCATAGCTATAGCAAGATGCCTTAACACAGGGGCAGCCAATTATTTTGGGCAGAGGGCCGCTTACTGAGTTTTGGCAAGCCACTGAGGGCCACATGACAGGCAGCCCAGGGCAGATTAATATTAATTTTCTAAATTTTTAGGGGCCCTGCAGGCTGGATAAAATAACTTGGTAGGCCACATCCGGCCCCCAGGCTGCATTTTGCCCACCCCTGCCTTAGCTCCATTATCATGCCCTGAGCACTTGTAAGTAAGCCTGCAATGAGTAAGCCAGCATGGACAGTCCAATCTTACAATAATATAGTGATGTGCACAGTGAGTAGCAAATCAGTATTTGCAGGCAAATTGGGAGGGGACAAAAGGAAGGATTTTTTTTTGTTTTGTTGGGTTTTTTTTAAAGAAGACAATTCTCAGCTTCTCTGGGTTTGTCATCAATTCCAGTTTTACTCAAGAAATCAGGATGAGGCACATGGGCAGGACCTTGTGGGGCATCCTGCACTTTTGCTGCCTGTGTTATATGTAATGTCTGGGGAAGATCCTCCTGACCTATCAAAACAGGTCTATGGAAGACCCTATGTAGAGAGAGCCCCTGAAACTCTGGCCTGTTCTTTACATAGGATTCAGCTCACGCTGGGACAGGTCACTTGGAAAGTACTAGTCAGTTCCATGGAGTCCAGTGGAAAGTAGTCAGTAAAGGGATACTTCTGTGGACCTTATGAGAATTATACCAGAATCCAGTGCCTGCTGGGATGGGGCTTTGGGTGTTTGGTTAGTGCTATGAGGGTACTTATTCTCTACAGACTCTTAGGTCACTGGAGAGGTCACTGGACTTTCTAAAGGAGTCCCAGCGCTTTGATTTCTAGAGCTCCCAGTAACTGGGGACCTAACAGGACTTCAACATGCTAATGCGGCAAAATGGATAGAAATAATATTTATCTCCAAAAATCTGGAGATGAAGCTGAGCAGATGTTTACATGCTCTGTTTATTTCTCTTTGTAGGAAATCCTGTCACCATCCAAGCTTCATATGTGGAAAAGAAACTGGTTTTGTATCTCTCTGACTCTGAGCAGGTATTGGTATCTCTTGCACATTGAACTGACCTTCTAGCCTGTGCGTGATAGCTGCAGGAGAAGGAATCCTTTTCTGCTGCCTCCCACTGATTTTCTTTTCCACTGCAGGATAATACTTAAAGTGGTTAAATGTGCAGCCAATATAACTGGGGTAAGTATTGAGTATTTATTTTCTAGGGGTCATTGTAGATGATTACAGACACCATATTTTTTCTAAATTTGATTTTCAGAATGACAAGTCATTAAGGCACTTCCTGAAGACTATCATCATCATTGCTGGAATCCCAGAAGTGATTTCAAGTGAGTTTATGCTTGAGGAAAGTTTGGATGAATTTAACAGAACATGTAACACCTGTTCAGTTTACACAAGCACTAACACAGTTTAATAATAGTCCTGGTTAGCAGATTTGTCAAAGAAAAGTTATCACCTCTTGCAAAGCTGGCCACAAACTGAGTTTTCATTGGAATTCCCTTTTGTTTCATGGTCTGCTGACTGCTCTTCAGGTTCCCCAAAAGTCATGCTCTTGTGTATGTCCTTTGTTCATGGTTTCCAGTGTTAAATCTGAAAGTGTTTCTTCATCACTGATTCTCAACCAAGGTGCTGCAGCACCCCAGGGCACCTTGAGATCCTTTCAAGGGTGCTGCAGAGTGCTACACAATGCTACACTGTGCTACACTGTTAGGTGTACAAACATGTTTCACAAGATAAACACAGAGAGTTCAAACAGGAATCCATAGTGTTAACAACATTCTGACTTGTTGTGGTTTTCTGAGTTCTTTGAAGCAGAAAAATTGCTTTTATTTTTTCCATAGTGAGAAGTGAGTATAAGCTAAGGGCTGGCATTTTCTGAGAGGTACCCTGAGTCTAACGGGGTACCTGGAATCTAAAAAAAACGGTTGGCAACCACTGTTCTATACCATAACCTATTGTTCATGTCTGTGTGTGACCCACTTTCATACTCACCCATGATGGAAAACTGTCCTTAGGACAAAATGTCCCTTGTGACAAGAGGAGCAGGACCCAGTATGTATAGTGCTTTAAAACAGCAATGTCTTGGAAATGGACAATCCTTAAAAGAACTAAAGTCTGAGGCTGGGCCAATGTTGAAGGGACTGAGAGTTCACGTGTGTGGGGAATAGCATGTTGGTTTTACTGCATCTATAATTAAATGAGTAGTTTCTGATTCCATAGGGATTGAAGGAGCTATAACTTCACTGATGAACAGTAAAGGAATCCACTTATTTTAAATAATAAGTCTTGAGATCATTACCAGAATGATAAGTAAACTTTAGCCATTAACTGCTACACACACAGCACAGAAGATTTCTCATAAATATGGCATGAGCTTTTATAACTTATTTCTTTTCTTCTAGGAATACCTGATTCTACAGATGGACTTTGGCTTCCCCCATCATTTGCTGCTTGATTTTTATGAGACCATGTTATAGAAGAAAGGATGGTATGAAGGAGGGTAGGAGTTAACTGTCCCAAGACAAAGAATGTTTGAGAACCACTTAAATGATGTTATTTTTGTCTGTGTCCTTGTCTCCCACCCACTGAACACAAAGTTGATTCTTTTAAAGTGAGAAATGCCCTGGCCTTTATTGAACTATATTACTATAGAATCCCTGCTCAGGGAGGATGCTGGAATCCAAGTCCAAGCTATTCTTGTTTTAAAATCTTGAGTAATGTGTGCACTTGTGAAGAAACAAGGGTCCAGTGTGCTAAATCAGTGAGCTCCAGATCAGGCCCTAAGAACTACCTGATACAAGGGATGATTTAAGTGGTGTTCAGCCTATGGCCCACAGGCTCCTTATAGGTCCAGAAATTTGGTAGTAGGTGGGTAGTTGCAGTGTTAATTGCCACAGCTCTGTGAGCCATGACACTGCCAGCACTCTGCCACCTCCAAATACCCAGCACCTTGGGGAGATGGAGCCCTGCAGGCCAGATGACATGGCCATGTGTGCCAGATGGGGCATATGCCAGGGTTAGTTTGCAGGTGTGATCCAACTGTGAACCAACTGCATGCACCAGCTCAATCTCCCCCTCAGATGGGCTCCCCCCTATGGGGCTGGATGGGTTGGACACCACTCATTTTAGCAGTCTTTAACAATCTCTGTTGTATCTTGAAAACGAAATATTTTGCCATTCTAGGCTGAGCTACCAAACTTGTTTCACTTCCTGTAGAGTAAGATACAGAAACAGTAAAGCAGCAACAGGTAGGGGTGACAGCAAGCAGTGAATGAGATGTGACTGTGCAGTATAATATGGTGCACTTGCACAGTTTTTTAGTGCCTGCAACTGTAGCATCGTGATTTCCTGGAGCTGCTCAATTTTTTTATTAAGTGCCCTCTAGTAACTACAGCAATGGACTGGGAGCTGCATGGCTTTGGCTGTGTTCCCAATGTAACTACTGGTTTGCTGGGTGAACTGGAACAGGTTGCTGAATAGCTCTCTGCCTCAGTTTCCCCATATGTAAAGCAAATGGGGCTTTTTAAAGTTATTAGTGATTGAGCTCTTTGGCGCTGTACAGGTAATTCAGGAAGTTCTGATGAGCCCCTGATACTCGTGTCTGAGTGATTTTAGTCACCTGGGGCCACATGCCTATACCCATTCTAGCCACTGATAGTTAGACACCTTAATATCTTTGGATCTGGTCCATAATGAGGCCATGGTGATGATCATTTCAAAGTGGAATTGGTAGTTCTCTCCAGGTAGCTGGGTACACGGGAAGTAGCCCTGGGGACTTACCAGTATTAGGCAGCACTATAGTACCCATCCTTAGATACTGTAATGACAGAAGTAGGGTGGCTTCTTGCTTACATTTCCTTCCTTCCTGTGACTATTTGCTTGGACATTTTACTGGCACCTGCAGTTAGAGGCTGCAACACAGTCTGTCTCAAGAAAGGAACTGCTGGCATCTTGCCTTTTTAGGTAGTTCCCTTAATGTAAGTCCAAAGTTACTTGCTGTTTTTTCAGCTCACACAATCATTGTGGAAAAAAAGCCGCCCTTCCCCTGGGCAGAATGGTTTGGATCCCATGAGTCAACGTGGGGTTGTCTTACACAGGCATGACTACCAGGTTCTGCACCTAAGGCTGGCAGCTGTGAGAGCTGCCATTCTTGTGTCCCCTCTAAGTGGGCCCTTGGGGTTGGTGCCTGCTGTTGTCTTATTCAGTTTGATTAGCTGCATGCATGGTGTACAAACTTCAGAACAGTACCCAGAGTTTCTCAATGTATACAGTGGACCTTTCCCCTGACCAAATCTAAATGGCAATGGGCAGGTTGCCATCCCTTGTTTACAGGGGAAAAAACCCAGCCCACATCATCCAAGCAATCCAATCACTCAAACTTGCCACAGCCCTAGGGACCTACTGCTAACTGTAGCTGCTTGCTGAGACCTTGCTCCACTTATGTTCTAGCTGGGCTGCAGAGCTCCTGGCTACCTCTGTAGTCCCAGAATGGAGGGAGAAGTGGAGGGATTTCCCTGATTTTCAGAGTGATACTCACTCCCTGTATATATTGCTGCCCCATCTCAGCTGAAGAAAAACAGATGCATCTGAAGAGCAGAATGCCCACCTCAGGACCAAACTGTACCAAGGGACTGAGTTTGTTTGTTTGTTTTAACTGAAAACATGCTCCTATAATCCTGCAATATCTTTGTCCCAACAGTAGCCTGAGCCCACTACCATTCCCTTTTGGCACCTAGCTGTCACAGACCAAATTAAGTAGTGCCCATGTCACAAACAAGTAAAACCATTCAAAACAGTTTTAGTCTGCACTAGGTTAACTAAGAGTTAACTAACAAGAAGATAGTAACAGTTTTTTTGCTGCGCATGTCAAAAAGAGATTTATAACTGCGACACTAACAAGAAACAAAACTTAGCCCATGATTTATGATTGGTCAGGGTGAAAAGGGATAGCCCTGCTACAAATCCCTAGAGATAACTGGCGATTCTAATTAAATTTATGACGTGGCGAAAAACAATTGGCTATCATACAAACAAAACCCTGCTACATTTCCGCCAAAGGGGAAGACAACTCTGTCCGCACCTTGGAGTAAATCTGACAATTTGATCAGTTGTCAGCGACCTTGACGGCGTGAGTAAATAATCTTGCTTTGCAACCGATAAGCGTCCGCCTAATTAATTCCACTCCATGCGTCACAAGTACCCACCTGACGAACCCTTAACTGCCCAGGTGGGAGTCAGGGAGAGCTGCTGGCCGGCTGCCCTGGGTCCCGACATGGCGTCACGAACAGGATATAGAGAAGACGCAACGGAGTTGGAACTAGTTAAGAACTGCCCATGGCACAGTGGGGACCACCTGACATCCGATTCAGATGAATTATGGGCACACATTGCCTACCATCAGGCAAGGGGAATAGGATTGAATGCGGTTAATGGACACTTCTCCCTAAGGGGTGAAGCAGGAGAAGGGAAAGAGTGGAGCGCTCAGCTCGATGTGAGGGCCCTAGGGTGTGTTATGAGCTCTAAAGGGGTTATGTACAGACCCAGGGACGAAGCGGGAATCATATCCCTACATCGGGTGAAGGTGGCAGCGGTAAAAGTGCCGGCAGGGGTGGACCCGACCCCTGTCCAGGAGGTTGTCCGTTGCATCTGCCACGTATGAAAGGGCGGGGAAGGAACACCCCCCGACAAGTTCAGCTGTCCGATCATGGTACCCCAGTCACCCAGTCACAAACTCTTCACCCAGCTCCATGAAAATTTGGAGACGGAGGGTCGCACCGCGACCAGATGGGCAGGCCCCCAAACGGAAAAAAGGGAAAATGATTAATGTTCTGTTTCACGCATTCGTTAACGCGACGCGTGATATTGAAAACTTGAGTAGCCAACTTCTAACCATGGGAAAAGTCGCAGCTGAAAACGCTGCCATGCAGCAATTACCTGCGCCATCGCCCCAATATGGCACTGGCGAAAAAATCAGCTTCTTCAACGAGCCAGAGAAGAAGGGCGGGGCTTCAGAAAAAAACGCGGAGGGTGGAGTTGGGGGAGGTCCACAACTACCTCATTCTCTATGGGAGTGCAACGGGGCGGACCCAATGGCTCCACCCCTGGAGCATCAGCCACCGCCTCCCTATGACGAAAAAAACCAACCCCCAAGTCAATCTATCCGCCCTTACCAACGGAGAATCCGCCTCCACCGATGACGTCTTCGCCAACTTCCAAAAAAACGGCCTTCCCTATCACTGTTACAAAATACACAACGGATCCACAAGGCATAACTCACGCTACTTCCACCTACCGCACCCGTAACCGAACAGAGATGCAAGATATTTTTCAGCTATCAAAATTTAAACCGGGAGAAACCCTGGTGATCTGGCTTGGCTGACTGGTAGTCGAATTCGGCTCAGAATGACTGGACATGGAAGAGGCCAGCTTCTTTATCCGTCAAGCTGCATGGAGTGGAGGACACGCCACCGACCTCGACCCAGTCATACAAAACCAACACTGGGCCATACCACTCCCTGCGCTTCTAGCCCACCAAATTGTGAGCAAGTCCCACCTGTGGCACAATGACCGCCCGGAAATAGCGTCAGCAGAACAACTTTTATTAGCAATAATAGGAACCTCGTACTGCACATGGGACGGGGGCCCACAGCCGATGGGTATTCAACACAACAGGTTCGGCTTGACGGAGCAACAGGCCACTGGGCCCTGGCCACATCGATTCCTAACGCAACCCGGAATGGTTCCAATCACCCCCGAAGCCTTGGAAGCTTGCATAGACATCTATGGGGGATCTCATGCCATCACTCTTCGCCTCCTCCTTACCCCGCAAATAGACGCACAGGCCGGGAACATCCTCAGTCAATTGGGCCATATCCAGGCCCTCATAAAGCCAACAGCGATGCCTCGAGGTGTCAATTGTGCTACAGAACTGGACCCATCTTCAGTGTACCCCATCAAACAACCTGAAGTGAACAGGTCACCCTCCATAGGTTCACAACCATTCCGAGAACGAACCCCAGAAGAAAAGGCCATGTTTTGGTTCCTGTTCACAGAGTCCGGTCTTACCAAACAGCAATTACGCGCCCTGGGGGATGATGGACAAAAGACTCTGGCAAAAAAATTGGGATTCCGCATCCACATCAGCCATATCCGCGTATCCACAAAGGAACCATCGTCCGTCCAGAACAGTATCCAAACACCTATACCGTTACCTTCATCCATGAGGACCGACCAACTACGCTTCTCGCCCATCACAATTGGTTGTCCCGATGTGCAAACCCACAAGCAACAACCCTTTAGGTTGTATATCAGTTACTGTCTTGTCTTTTCTTTTTTTTGCTCCAGCTTTCGAGTCATCCTGCGTTTGATAACAACATGTTTTTTGGTGCCTGTTGGTCCTCCTGTGTCGAGCAAGCCCTCTACAGGAGCGAGATGTCAACCCGCCACCAAATGATG